CACACTGGCGGCCGATGGCATAGTGTTGAACCAATTTTATACCCAACCCCTATGTACTCCAAGTAGGGGTGCCCTACTCACTGGGATTCATCCCATGCATACTGGGCTACAACACTTCGTTTTACACATGCAATCCCCAACAGGTTTACCCCTAGACCTCAATCTATGGCCACAATATCTAAAACAATATAATTACGCCACTCATATGGTCGGTATGTAACTTCATTTCAATAACTTGAACCTGGTACACACTGTCAATTTTAATATTAATTATTAATTACTTGTTTAATGTACAGTATTAGTAAATAATGAATCTTTGAACTAAAATCTCTGTACAATATATTAAATAAACAAGTATCTTTTGTAATAATTATACAAGAAATTATATATTTAGAAACTATTTATCATTTAGCAAGCGTAATCTATAATTTAAATATAGTGTAACTGTCATAAGTTAGTAATAAATAATAATCGCAGTGAGCAAGTACAATATAACTATTATAATGTATATATAAATTATTCTTAAATCAGGTAAATGGCATTTAGGATTTGCTCGCCGTGCATATACTCCGACATACCGGGGCTTTGACTCGCACGTGGGATATTGGACAGCCAGGGAAACTTATTTTGAACACACTCATTGTGAACCCTCTGGAAGTTGTGGACTAGACTTCCGGCATAACATGGATGTCATTACAAACGCGTCGGGAGTCTATTCAACACATTATTTTACCGACAGATGCCTTCATATAATCAGTTAATGTTTTCAATGAAAATCAATTTAATATTTAAACTAATAATTTGCTAATACATCAGATGAACATAACCTATCTGAGCCCCTGTTCCTATACGTGCCCCACCAGTCTGTCCACTCATCGGGCTTTAACTTTACACTGGAGGCGCCCGAGGAGTACATCGATATGTTTGCGTACATTGAGTCCGATATAAGGCGACAATTGGCAGCTGTTGTCTACGCTATGGACGAGTCTATCGGTGCGGTTGTGGAGGCCTTGCATTCAAAACAAATGCTGGAAAACAGTATTATTATATTTATGAGCGATAACGGGGGCTTTCATCATAGTTTTGGTAACCAATAGATTAATAAATTACGACAAATTATCATGGTATATTTTAGGTAATGGTGGCTCTAATTGGCCTTTGCGAGGCGGCAAATTTGAGCTATTTGAGGGAGGTACAATTC